TTGCTATAGGGTGTGTGCACTTGCCAGACAGAGAGAGACAGAGAGACAGAAAGCGAGAAATCACCCCCCCAGTGGGGATGGCCACGCTGCAATCCCTTCTCCTCCATTCTCCCGGGATCTTGAGCACGCACACACATGCGCCCGGCGTGAGTTTTAAGCCACGGGGTCCAGGACATGAACCGCAGTCGACTATGTGGGAGTCCAGTGACATAGCCATTACGCTAACTGCTGGTCCCATCCAGGATAAACCTTTGAGAGAAGGACCCAAGAGACATCCAAGTTCTAAGCCCTAAGATGTGTGAATATGTTACACGCATGGCAAGAAACTTACAAATGCAATCAATATTAAGGACTTTAAGATGAGGGATTGTCCTGGGCTACCCAGATGGGCCCAGCTTATCACAAGCCTTTGAAGGGAGAGACCTTTCTTAATGAGGTCAGAGAGTAGCCGTGATGAGGGAAGCAGGGGCAGAGATGTGCTGCTGGTTTTGAAGAAGAAATGTGAGGACCCGAAACGATGAAGAGGAAAGCACACCCCCTCCCCTGTTATCCCAAGGCCCTCTTCCCCTCTTTTTCTGTCTCTCTCTCTGGCAAGGACAAACAACCTCTGGCATTAAAAAAAAAAAGTCTTTAATTCAGCAGAGAAGGGAAAGGTAATAATAGTATTACTATTTATTAAATAGTAAGTCAATAAATAAAAGTCTTTACCTAAATCCCTCAATGAGAAATCAAGGAGTTGGTTGCATTACTTGCACCTAAATAACCTGCAAACCCTCCCAGCACTCCCAACTCAAACTACCTCGGCTGTGCCTTGTGGACTCCTACACTCCAGGGCTCCCACACCTCTACAAAGCTGGTCTCAGGCACGCTCCTCTCCGTGTCCTCCCCACTCTCTTCCTCATTTTTTTTTTTTTCCTTTCAATCATCACATATTACCCCAAATAAGTTGAACCAATGTCTGAGCATTCAGGCAAAATAGAATTCTCCTAAAAGAATTTTTCAAAATTTTTTTTTTTTCCTTTCAATCATCACATATTACCCCAAATAAGTTGAACCAATGTCTGAGCATTCAGGCAAAATAGAATTCTCCTAAAAGAATTTTTCAAAAAATGCAGAAGTAGCCGTTGAACAAGGTGTTTTAGGAGAACATTGCTAACTCTAACAGTGACCTCCCGAGGAAGAGCCCCGAGCAGAGGCAGAGCTGTGCTCCCTGCAGTCTCTGACGGAGGA